TGCATACAGTACTCGACGTGACAAATTAATGTTAGTTATTTTAGAAGTTCTGTTTATATATGCATGTGATGCATAATACATGCGATTTATTAAGTAAAAAAATGTATCACACCAGTCCAATGAAAATAATACATTGCTCATATTATGTTAATTATGCATTTCGAAAGATCTATAAATTGATACCGAATTCGCATTTTTTTTCTTCATCCCTCTTTATTTCGAAATAACCTTTAATATTTCCTCTAATTTCACCAAAAATAATCCTTAATATTTCCTCCCATTTTAAAATCCTACTTAATATTTCCTCCTAATTCCTAAAATCAACTTCAAAATGTCGAAAATTTACTTGCTCCTCGTTGTTGCTTTAGTTTTTACTGCTCTTAGCCCTGCATTCACCTTGCCTTTGAACGAACGTGGTATATATAGTTCTATGTTTTTATTCAGGATTATTACATTTCTGATCGACAAATCAAAATTTTCTCGCATCTTGATGAAATTAGCTGATGCTAAATTTTGAGCATTTTTTAAATTCTAGCATCAGTTAATTTTGGCATCAGTTGCAACAATTGTCATGATCTCGTAATTTATTGGCCGATAAGAAACGTAATAAAATAAAATGCTATCACTAATTAATTGTATGTAATTGATTATGAATTAAATTATTAGCGGATGTACCACGTGAGTATCAAGCTAATTTATAAAATTAAAATTTTAATAATTAAAGTATTATTAATCTAATTAATTATATATATGGATTAATTAAAATTTCAGCATGTGAGTACGAAATCGAAATTTATAATCCATATTTAAAAAATTTCACTAATCAATTGTATATGAATGAATTAAATCCTTAGTGCCTGGTGAGTATAAAGCTAATTTATAAATATAGAATTTTAATAATTAAAATATTATTAATCTAAAAACCCTCACTAATCAATTATATACGAATTAAATCCTTAGCGCCTGGTTGTGAGTATACTAATTTATAAATATAGAATTTTAATAATTAAAATATTATTAATCTAATTAATTATATATATGGATTAATTAAAATTTCAGCATGTGAGTACGAAAATCGAAATTTATAATCCATAATTAAAAGATTTCACTAATCAATTATATACGAATTAAATCCTTAGTGCCTGGTGAGTATAAAGCTAATTTATAATCCATAATTTAAAAAAAAATTCACTAATAAATTGTATACGAATTAAACGAATTAAATCCTTAGTGCCTGGTGTGTATAAAGCTAATTTATAAATATAGAATTTTTATAATTAAAATATTATTAATCTAATTAATTATATATGAATTAATTAAATTTTCAGCATGTGAGTACGAAATCGAAATTTATAACCCATAATTAAAAAACTTCACTAATCAAATTATAATTATATTCGAATTAAAAATCCTTAGTGCCTGGTACTCCTGGTAGTGAGTATAAAGCTAATTTATAAATATAGAATCTTAAAATCTTATTAATTTAATTGATTATATAAAAAAACTTCACTAATCATTTATATACAAATTATATCAATTATATTTGAATTAAATTATTAGCGACTTGTGCGCGTAAGTTTCAAACTTATTTATTAATTTAAAATTTTAATAATTAAAAATTTATTAATCTAATTAATTATATATATAAATTAATTAAAGCTACAGGAAGTGAGTAACGAAATCGAAATTTATAATTCATAATTTAAGAAAAAAACTTTACTAATTAATTATATACGAATTAAATCATCAGCGACTCTTTTGACTACTCGTGAGTATAAAGCTAATTATAAATATAGAATTTCAATAATTAAAACGTTATTGATCTAATTAATTACATATATGAATTAATTAAAATTTCAGAATGTAAGTACGAAATCGATAATCCAAAAAAACTTCATAATCAATTATATACGAATTAAATCAATTATATATGAATTAAATTTTAGTGAAAAGCTGTACGAGTGAGTATCAAGTTAACTTATAAATTTAAAATTTTAAAATTTAAAATTTATTAGTCTAATTAATTTTATAAATATGTATGTTAATTAAAGGTCAAGGAAGTGAGTAACGAAATCGAAATTTAAAATTTAATTTTATTATCTAATTAATTTTATATATGTGTATGTTAATTAAAGATCAAGGAAGTGAGTAACGAAATCGAAATTTATAATTCATAATTTAAGAAAAAAACTTTATTAATCAATTATATACGAATTAAATCATTAGCGACTACTGGTGAGTATAAAGCAAATTATAAATATAGAATTTAATAATTAAAAAAATCATTAATCTAATTAACTAATTAAAATTTCAGCACGTGAGTAATGAAATCGAAATTTATAATCCATAATTAAAAAAAACTTCACTAATCAATTATATACGAATTAAATCAATTTATATGAATTAAATTATTAGTGACTTGTATTAGTAAGTATCAAGTTGATTTATAAATTTAAATTTTAATAATTAAAATTTTATTAATCTAATTAATTATATATATATATTAATTAAAGTTAGCGCATGTGAGTAACGAAATCGAAATTTATAATCCATAATTTTAAAAAAACTTCACTAATCAATTGTATACGAATTAATTATTAGTGACTGGTTCGGGTGAGTATAAAGCTAATTTATAAATATAGAATTTAATAATTAAAAACATCATTATTCTAATTAACTATATATAAATTAATTAAAATTTCAGCACGTGAGTAACGAAATCGAAATTTATAACCCGTAATTAAAAAAAAACTTCACTAATCAATTATATACGAATTAAATCATTAGCGACTACTTGTGAGTATAAAGCTAATTTATAAATATAGAATTTTAATAATTAAATATTATTTATCTAATAATTATATATATAAACTAATTGAAATTTCAGCAAGTGAGTACGAAATCGAAATCTATAATCATAATTTTAAAAAAAAACTTCACTAATCAATTATATATGAATTAAATCATTAGCGATTACTCAGAGTGAGTATAAGCTAATTTAAAAATATATAATTTTAATAATTAAAATATTATTAATCTAATTAATTACATATATGATTTAATTAAATTTCAGCATGTGAGTACGAAATCGAAATTTATAATCCATAATTTAAAAAAATCACTAACCAATATTATATACGAATTAAATCAATTATATATTAATTGAATTATTAGTTACTTGCACATGTGAGTATCAAGTTAATTTATTATTTAAAAAATAATTAAAATCTTACTCAAATCTAATTAATTACATATATAAATTAATTAAAGCTGGTCAAGGTGAGTAACGAAATCGAAATTTATAATTCATAATTTTTTCAAAAAACTTCACTAATCAATTATATACGAATTAAATCATTAGTGACTACTAGTGAGTATAAAGCTAATTTATAAATATAGAATTTTAATAATTAAAACGTTATTAATCTAATTAATTATATACATGAATTAATTAAAATCTCAGCAAGTGAGTACGAAATCGAAATATATAATCCATAATTAAAAAAAACTTCACTAATAAATTATATATGAATTAAATTATTAGTTACTTGTACGAGTGAGTATCAAGCTAATTTATAAATTTTAAAATTTAATAATTAAAATCTTATTAATCTAATTAACTATATATAAAAATTAATTAAAGCCACTGGTGAGTAACGAAAGCGAAATTTATAATCCATAATTAAAAAAAAAACCAAAAAAAAACCAAAAAACTTCACTAATCAATTATATACGAATTAAATTATTAGCGGGTTCGGGTGAGTATAAGCTAATTTATAAGTTAAAATTTTTAGTAATTAAACCATTATTAATCTAATTAATTATATATATGAATTAATTAAAGATGTCGGTGAGTAACGAATCGAAATTTATAATCCATAATTTAAAAAAAAGCTTACTAATCAATCATATAAATCAATTATATATAAATTAAATCATTAGCGAAATGTTTGGGTGAGTATCAAGTTAATTTATAAATTTAAAATATTAATAGTTAAAATTTTATTAATCTAATTAATTATATATATATATAATTTAAAATTGAAGGCGGTGAGTATCAAAATCGAAATTTATAATCCATAATTAAAAAAAAAACTTTACTAATCAATTATATATGAATTAAATTATTAGTGACTACTACACTGCGTGAGTATAATGATAATTTATAAAATTAAAATATAATAATCAAAACCCTATTAATGAGTAAGAAATTGAAATTTAATTCGTAATTAATAATAAATTTATGAATCAAATTATTAGCGGGTGCTCCACGTGAGTATAAAACTAATTCATAAATTTAAAATTTTAATAATTAAAATTTATTAATTTAATTAACTATATATAAATTAATTAAATTTCAGAATGTGAGTACGAAATCAAAAATTAATAATCTATAATTTAAAAAAAAACTTCACTAATCAATTATATACGAATTATATTATTAGCGCCTGCTGGTGAGTATAAAATAAATTTATAACTTAAAATCTTAATATTTAAACTCTTATTGATCTTATTAATCTAATTAATTATATATTATATTAATTAAATCATTTATTCAAAATTATTAGTGTGTGAGTATCAAGCTGGTTTATAAATTTAAAATTTTTAATAATTAAAACCTTAATAATCTAATTAATTATATGTATAAATTAATTAATATTTCAGCAAGTGAGTAAGAAATAATTTATGAATTTAAGTTTGTAATAATATGATTTCTAAACAATTATAAATGAATAAATAATTAGCGAAAGGAACACGTGAGTATAAAGTTAATTTATAGATTTTAATAATTAAAACCTTATTAATCTAATTAATTATATGTATTAATTTTAGAATGTGAGTACGAAATAATTTATAAATTTAAATTTGCAATTGTATGATCTATAATTGAATGAGATTTCTCTTAAATAATTAGCCGGTGAGTGTAAAATTAATTTATAAATTAAAAATGCATAAGTTATCTATAATAAAACCTAATTAACTGTTAACGAATTAAATAGATGCATCCCAAAACAAGGATACCGTTACCGGTGAAGCTTCAGGTCCCGCTAGCACTACCGGTAAAACTGCCGGTAGCAAACCCGCCGAAAGTGCCGATGATGAAGTCGATAATACTCCTGCTACTGCCCAGAGCGCTACCGATGGCACTGCTGAAAAGGCTGATGATGCTGCCGCTAAAGCTGCATCCACCAGTACTCCTGCCCCCTAACACTCCCAATAGCCGTCGTTAAAAATGGTGAGTATAAATTTATACGTAGATTGAAATTGATATTCAAATTGACTGACTAAAAAGGGAATTTTCTATATTGGTTATTTTCATAATACGTACGGAAATAGGCAGTATAAGAACATAATTACAATGTAGGTTTTTTTATTTAAAATAATATTAAGCATTTGGTTTTGACACAAATTTTTTTGCTGATTGTAATTTTAAATTTTTATATTAATGATATTAGAATTATTAGCAGAATTGTTAATTTTAATTTAAATCATAAATTATTATTAGAAAAGCTCTTAATGTTACGTATTAAAATTTAGAAATTTATTAGTTTAATACTATAATGTAACAATTCTCTATAAAAATTTTGATCTAATTTAGAAAATTTTATTAAAAAAATAAAAACATAAGGATTTATCCTTTTTGTTATTGAGAAATCTATACAATTTTATGAATCACTTTTCAAACAACTTTCATTTTATATATATACGTATACAATTTTTCTTTTTTGTAATTGTCGTTTCGAAAAGTCATGATTTTAATCCATCTACTTGATTGTCGTCTTGACAAACTAAATTTATGAATTAAACAAAATTTATCAGTTATATCTTTACTCTGAATCCATATAGCAATCTTCACGACAAGTCCCTTTAAAAATCCTTCATTTTTGATACTTATATTTTTTCGGTTAAATTATCTAATACTTATCCTATTATTATTATTATTATTATTATTATTATTATTATTATTATTATTATTATTATTATTATTATTATTATTATTATTATTATTATTATTATTATTATTATTATTATTATTATTATT